AGACCTGATAGGTAGAAACGCGTCTATGGATGAAACAGCAGAGAAAATTAATCCAAAATTTTCACATCAGTGGATACTAGGAGAAAACTTGTTTTCCCAACTATCTGATTTTTGGTCGGCCTATTAGATGGTCACCACTAAATACAAAAAAGTGCTGTTTAGTGTTGAATCTTAGTCTTAGATGGCGCCACGATCAAATTTCGCTCGTCGTTATATGAGTAATTACAAAATTTAGGATTTATAAACTCAATTTGACTTGAAGTTATCCTAATTACGCTTTCGAGAAATTTTCATTGTCACACGATATCACAAATAAAAAATTACAACAAAACAAAGCGACGTTTCAATACTCAAATACTTCTTCAAATACAAGAACTGTTGTACGGTTCTAGTAAGTTTTGAACCCGTAGTTCGAACAAGGGATTTGTCAAAATCACGAATCTGGAATTCTCCTAGGAAACTCTAGAACAGAGAACAGTGTGCATTTATGATGTGCAAGCGTAGTTCAATTAAGAACTGATTCCGAACACATCCTCCTACCGATACAAAGGTTACGTTATTCTTTTGAGTAATTTTTGGTCGGATTCGGATACATGCCTAAAAGTATATCGAAACTCAAGGATTGCCAACATCCTAATCTTTACTAAAAAAACTATGCACTTGACAACGTCTGACCAACGTTGGTTAGGGGCGGCGACCTTCGTTGAATACCCGATACATGAAAATTCAAACTGAGACTAAAGCGGTGTTTCCACATGCATAGTTTATTGACGCCAGTGGAATGGCGCAAATTTTCTGGTGCGTGGAAACCAGGGATGTGCCGTAGACTATGAAATCTACTTTACGCGGTTTGCCTACTCGTTGTCTACGTATTGTTTATATCCACTTTTTTCCAGGGATGTGCGTCTACACGTAGACTAGACTTTCATTGTCTACTTTACGTGTAGACAATGTAGACAATGTAGACAACGCGTCAACAATGTAAAATAATATAAATGACGTTTAATTCTAACCTCACACTTTCCTTTTCGAAAATTATTTTTATTTTATTATCGGTTTTCCTCATATTTATAATCAGTGAATGCTAATATCAAAGTGATAGGTATAAGCTACTTAGGTAGTAGTAATTTTGGAACTTTTTTTTAAATTTTCTAAAATAAGTTTATTGTTTACGTCACATGTAGACAATGTGTAGACAAATACCCACGTAAACAATTCGAATTGTCTACATGTAGACAATCAATTGTTTACGTTGACATTGTCTACAGGCACATCACTGCTTTTTTCCATGTAGACTATATAAACTATGTAGACAATGTAGACAACAGAAAATTTGAAATTTGAGTAATTTTTTTGAAAGTTTGCATTTCATTAAATTTATATTGTATTAAATTATACATTATCTGCAGTTTAATTAACTTTACAAAGCAAAAAACAAAACAAAGGAAAAACTGAAACATAACCTTAAAGGCCTGCCAACTGTCAAAAATTGTATACTTTACGCGTTGTCTACATATTTTACACGTTGTCTATAGGCGATTTTCAGCCTGAAATGATTATTATTTGGTTATAACCAATGCATTTCCGCCGTCGCGGTTTTAACCAAAGTAGGGGAAGTTGTGGTGTCACATATCAGCTGATTTGCTTTTGGTATTTACCACTTATAACCGATTATAACCCAGCTTTGGACTTGGGTTAATCTTTTGGTTACAGCTTTTTGATGTTATTGTTATTATTTTGGGAATTGGTATTGGTGTTTTGTGATTTTGCAGTTGTGTTGTGGCCTGTTACAATGGAAGAAGTATACACTCACTCACTCACTGCAACTCATCATGTTTAGATCGAGGTTTAGATCATCCCCAAAGAAAATCTGTTCGATAAACGAGACTAACGAGAGATTCCGCTCTAATTTCTGTACCTAAACAACAAACCATTGTTGAAACGAAAAAACAAATAGGAATAATAAACATAATCCTATACTGCTATAACCAAATCATTTCAGCGGTCAGTTCCTTGGGTTATGATTCTTGAGTGGTGGGGGGCTATGACTGTCAAAGTTGTCAACCAAAAGAATAACCACGGTATTTACCGATAAATAATCATTCCAGGCTGAAAATCGCCTTACATGAGGCGATTTTCAGCCTGGAATGATTATTATTTGGTTATAACCAATGCATTTCCGCCGTCGCGGTTTTAACCAAAGTAGGGGAAGTTGTGATGTCACATATCAGCTGATTTGCTTTTGGTATTTACCACTTATAACCGATTATAACCCAGCTTTGGACTTGGGTTAATCTTTTGGTTACAGCTAACGAGAGATTCCGCTCCATTTTTTGTACCTAAACAACAAACCATTGTTGAAACGAAAAAACAAATAGGAATAATAAACATAATCCTACACTGCTATAACCAAATCATTTCAGCGGTCAGTTCCTTGGGTTAAGATTCTTGAGTGGTGGGGGGCTGTGACTTCACACTTGGCTGTCAAAGTTGTCAACCAAAAGAATAACCACGGTATTTACCGATAAATAATCATTCCAGGCTGAAAATCGCCTATAGATTACATAGTTTACATTGTCTACGCGTTGTTTACACCAGACGTAGACAATCTTTGTTTACGCGTAGATGCCCATATCTCTGGTGGAAACTCACTTATCCATGCGCCAGTAAAGTAGAATGAGGATCTACTTTTTCGCGCCAGTTTGTCAAAATAATACAAGCGTTTCCATTGGTCGTTTTCAGAAAAATAATAAAGATGTCGGGTAAATCTAAAAAATGGTCTGCGGAACATATAAAATTTTTGGAAGTTTATGAAGAGCATTCATCGTAATTTTAAACGAACAGATGTCGCATCCCTCATCCCTCATGCGTTTTTTTTTCCGTATTTTTAATTTCAAAAATTTATTACTCGTACGTACGAGTAAATTTAAATGTATTCGTAAAATTCTAGTCGTAGAATACGAATATATCTTACGAGTAGTTGCTTGTGGTAACTCCTTAATATGGAGGTTGTTTCTTTGTGTTGTTCGGGGCAGCACTTCTTGCTTTGGGGCGTTCGTTTCTGAGCGTTTTATATGGTTTAGCTGCCATAATCTGAGATATTACAGCTTAGTTCAAGTTAGTGCGACACAAACAAACAAACCTATACATTTTTCGATTCTGAAACACCTGAGAACGTTTCCGGAACACGTTTCTCTCAGAATTAATCGAGTTTTCAGAAAAAGCAAATTTAGAGGTTTAAAAACCTCTGTTTGATTTGTTTTTCTTCAGTTCATTATAATTGATTTTTAAGTATTCCTCATAAAGCTTTCTGATTTTATTATTTTAGAATTTGAACTTAATTTAGTTTAGTTTCCCAAAATGTTATTCTCAATGTTTTGTACCTATACTTATGTCTAAAAAATTTATGTATTATTTAGTATAGTTTATACAAGTCAATCCGAATAGTATAAAAGCTATGTAGGCATCATCTTCTTATGAAATTAAGCATATGCGTGCAATAGCCTAGGAATTAGAATGATAGAATTCTTCGTTCTTGGGAATTCCTACGCTGTGGCACGCATATGCTTAAATTCATAAGATGCCGCCTACACAGTTTTTATGCTATTCGGATTGACTTCGTATAAACTATACTGAGGTAAATAAAGATAATATTATTTTTTGATTTAATTCGCTTCCTTTTACGAGATCCCTCTTAGATTAATTTTGTGAAAGTTTTCGCAGTCTTTACTCGTACTTTCACGATTACTACCCGTAACCGTAAACCGCCTCTATGAAATTACTTACGAGTAAAATACTTACAAATACATTTTTTGAGTACTCGTACTCGTAGGTCGTACGAATATATTTTTTTTTTGCTCGTGCCCAGCTCTGCTTTTAGTACTGCACGCGCCAGCTCGTACGGTTTCGAAGGTGTGTTCCCGCGGCCATCAACAACTGATGGGTGAATTCAAAGTCAGCCATACTCAATATCCCAACAACGTTGTACCAGGCCGCATGAAACTTATTAGCGCATGCGGTGGAGTGAAAACAGTGTATAGGTCTGTTTCTGCAGAAATCACAAACCAGTCAGAGCGAATTTCATTCGTTGAAAACACAAAACAGTCAGAAAACTAATTTCAACCAATGAAATTGACTCTGACTGGTTTGTGATTTCTGCAGAAACAGACCTTATAGATTTCTCTCTGGCTCCGACGCTACAGCCAAGGCAAGTCAGCGAACCTGAACGCACAGGAGCACGTCATGCGACAACATATTATGCCTGATGCGTTCGGACGTATCATCGTGCCGAAAAAGATCTGGGACAACAAAATTTTCGTTCACTGTAAAGTGCGACAACTGAGTGAACCTTGGCAACGTATGAAGTGGCAGAGGGGAAAACGAAAATCTATACTATACGACGCGACGGGTCCCCGACGTGGTGCATTGCGAAAATTGCGGTTACCCTGACGCGACGACCCGTGTATATGTATATTTAATCTCGCGCCAATCAGGAGGGTTTTGCCCGCATTCCTTCCACGCAGGTTCATTCAGTTGTCGCACTTTAAAGAGGATTCTAATATAATTTATATAAGCTATAATAATCCGAGAGATTAAACTACATTTTGCTTGCTTAGTTTTTTTTTCGTCACAAAGCTGCACATGTGAATAACGTATGTTGCATGCATTCGCTAAGTGAGTAAGTATGCGGCTGAACAAGTTTGGACGAATTCGAGCGAACGGATTCTTTCGCTGCATCCTGTACGCGTCTTTACCAAATGAATTTGTTCAATTAGTTTAGAAATCACGCGTACGGGCCTTTAGATCGTTTGCGTGGCGCCGCCCGCTAGAAACGAAGAGAGTGCGTACGTGACGAACATGCTGGTCGCTGGAAGTGGAAAAGGAAGCCCCTTCCTGAGGTAAATTCGAAACGACTGAAACGAGGACATCATGATGATTATAACTAATCGACTACGTCTGCTGTACGTTTGGCAACACGGTTATAGGTTGCTGCGCGCGCTGTGATTACGCTTTGGCTGTGGGTTCTAGTGATTGTGGTGGCGTGTTTTGCTGAGTGTGTGTGAGTGTGAGAGTTTAGATTCGGAATATCTTTGTGTTGAAATGTCTATTTAGGATTATTGAAAATGTTTAATTGAATAGTGGTGGTGTTTAGTGACATTCACTGGTTAAGTTAAGGCTAAGTATCCTACGATATGGAGCTGAAACTACATTCACCAGCAGGCGCTGAGCCTGTATTATATACTTGGCCGTTAACCTCGGGTCGTGGAAATGTAAGTATGATAACATAACAATAATACACTTTTCCACCCATTTTGTTCTTACCTATTGTACAAACTGGAAAGCTGCGCCAAAAACAGCCCTCATTTTATCATAAGTTTTATTATCCTCTGATTTTTTTTTGCCCCACAATAATGTTTATAGAATGAAATGGTAAGTGCTCCAGAAATGAGCCCAAATTTTATTCTATAAAAAAAGATGATTATTCCTCTACTTCCTTTGATTTTCTTAGTGCTTTCTGCAGTTTTTCTTTAATATTAATACCTAATTATTGTTTCATGTAGGATTCCAAAAAAGGGGTAAAAGATTCATTGTGTGTGGTGACCAAAGGCGCTAAAATTATCATATCCATCTAAAATTAGCTTCTGCTGCTCTTTTTAAAATAGATTTCTATTGATTACAATAACCTTACATTTTAATTTATACTACCACAGATACTACAGAATAAAGGTATTTCAAAATTCTAATCTCATGGTAACCATTTTCAAGGTAGATTTTATTCATACATACTTCCTTATTGATAATTTTTAAATAGCATTCTGCTAGGACAGCTCACTATTGCGATTGCATTGTATTTGAATAATGCACTATGCTTACATTACGAAACCCAAGATTTAATCCTTCACGAGGTCACCATGCCAAGATTTTAGATAATTTCAAGCTAATTAGGGACTAAGTCTTTGTAAAACTAATTTCTCATTTATAGTTTATGTGATTGAAGCTGAATTTATACTTACAGAAATTTCATTAAATATTTTATTTAGTTTGATTGTGTGACCTTAAATAGACAATTAGATTTTCCAGGTTTTAATTTTGGGTTTTCACAAAATTAAAATTGAAATTTGCATGTAAACACATTGTGTAATTTGACATGTTAAATAAATGATTTGATTTCAGGTATCAGAGAGGTTTTTGTTTATGGACCTGTATTTTTTATGAATTTATTTGCCAGGAAATTTAATTTGCGATCAAATCATTTATTACATTGTCTGACATTTCAGCATGGGTGAATACTCGGGTGAATACTTAGTAGTTAGCACTCTAATTTATAGCACTTTCAACTTTTTCATGTGTTTTTGTCTTGCCTTTTTGGAAAGAGATCTATAGTTCTCCGAGGGGTGCAATACCTAATAGTTCTCCAGTGAAACTTGAAAATCGAGTTGAAAATGTTTAAAAAATAAAAATAGTGGTGCTAACTTCATGCTGCATTCTTAATTGATTCCTCGATTGATTCTAGACAAGTTCTGATGACATTTCTTGGTCTAAGTACTATAGTTCTATAGTTCTCAGAGGGTTCCAGTAATAGTTCTGCAGTAAATTCATTTTTTTTTTTTTAAGTAGGGGTGCTAACCTATAACTTCATGCCAAAACCTAAATTGATTCTAGAGGAGTTTTGATGACATTTCTGCGTCTACTTACTATAGTTCTATGCTCGGTTCTATAGTTCTCAGAGAGTTGCAGTAATAGTTCTGCAGTAGGAGTTGATATCTATCAAAATACAGATGTCTATCAACTTAGCGAGACAACTTCGAAAAATCGATTTTCCATTATGCCAAGAATTTGCCGCTTTTTTGCCGCTAATTAAATGTGGAATTAAAAAATTTGCCGCTCTTTTGGTTTTTTTCTTAATTACGTGTTTTGCTAACTTGACGTCAAGATAGCGAGACAACATCACTAAATATGTCAGCACTAAAAAACTAGGTACGTGAAAATTTGCCGTTTTTTTTGCCGCTAATTAGTTGTGAAAATCAAAAATTTGCCGGTTATTTTTTTTTTTCATAAAAAATAAAGTTTGAAAAAAAATCATTTGTTTCGCTAACTTGACGTCAAGTTAGCGAGACATTATCACCAAAAATGTCGGTAATGAAAAATTGAGTGAATGGGAATTTGCCGTTTTTTTGCCGCTAATTAGTTGTGAAAACCAAAAATTTGCCGCTTTTTTTTACAAAAAATCAAGTTGGAAAAAAAATCATGTGTTTCGCTCAAGTTAGCGAGACAATATCACTAAAAATGTCGGTAGTGATGAGTTGAGTGAATGGAAATTTGCCGTTTTTTTGCCGCTAATTCGATGTGAAAACTAAAAATTTGCCGCTACCTTTCTTTTCATAAGAAAATCGTGTTCGAAAATAAAATAGTGTTTTCCTAATTTAACGTGAAGTTATCGAGATCACTAAAAATGTCGGTAGTGATGAATTGAGTGAGTGGAAATTTGCCGCTAATTATCTCTTTTTCTACAAGAAAATATCGCGTTTGAAAAAAATATCATGTATTTCGCTAACTTGACATCAAGTTAGCAAAACAGTAAACAGTATCAATAAAAATGTCGGTAGAAAATTTCATTCATCTGTCAAAACTGGTATTCGAACCATAAACTTGGCTCTGTGTCATTTGCGCGACAGTCGTTTGCGCGAGGGAGAAAAGCGCCATACTAAAAGCGCGAGGGACAAAAGCGCGACGGAACAAAAACTCGACTGCATAAAAGCGCGAGAAACAAAGGCGCGAGCGAGAAAAGCGTGAGAAACAAAAGCGCGAGGGACAAAAACGCGGGAGAAAAAGCGCGACGGAACAAAAACGCGACTGTAGTAAAGCACGATTGGACAACAACGCGAAGTATCTAACTATCTACGAGGACTGTAAGCAAAAGAGGGACACATCAAATTGTATCAATAAAATTCAGAAAAATGCAGCCTTACTCAAACTAACCCATACTAACCTGTTCCCCTAGTGCGATCTAGTCTTCGTTAAATAGAATTTTATTTGAAAAACCAGGCGCGGTCAAGGGACCCTACACTATAAATAAATTGACTGTTTTTTTGGATAAAATGCTAACTTATGAGTACTAGATCGCACTAGGCGGACGGGTTATTTTGGGTTAGTTTGAGCAAGTCTGTATTTGCTTTATTATTATTGGTTCAAATTGATGTCGCAATACAGACTTACTCAAACTAACCCAAAATAACCCGTCCACCTAGTACGATCTAGTCCTCGTAAGCATTTTATTTAAAAAAACAAAGTTAATTCACTGATTGATTGCTCAGGGTCTCTTGAGAGCGCAGTGCTTTTTAAATAAAATGCTAACTCATGAGGACGAGATTGCCCTAGACGGACGGGTTAGTTTGGGTTAGTTTGAGTAAGTCTACATAATTTTGATATTGGAACAATTTGATGTTTCCCTCTTTTGCTTAGAGGTCGTCGTTGTAAATGTCGCTCTTTTAATTTTTCACTGTTCTAAATCTCGTTCTTTACATATGTCGCTCTTTTGATATGTTGCTGTTTTTTTTAGATGTCGCTATTTTGAATAGCGCTGTTCCAAATGTCGCTATTTTGATATATCGCTTTAACAATATGTCGCCTTTTTGATGTTGCTATTTTAAATATCGTTCTTTTGAACCGGAGCCACCGAAAATATCTTGTATTTTGGAAAACGATGTCCAGTTCTCGTAGTAAGGCACTTCACGTTCTTGGCCAATCGCGCTTTATCCAGTCGCGATTTTGTTCTGTCGCGCTTTTGTCCCCTCGCGCTTTTGCTTCTAGCGCTTTTATCCAGTCGCGTTTTTGCGCAGCCGTGCGCTTTTGTCCCTCGCGCTTTTGTTCCTCGCGCTTCTATCCAGTCGCGTTTTTGTCCATCGCGCACTTGTCCTGTCGCGTTTTTGTTCCGTCGTGATTTTGTCCCTCGCGCTTTTCGTATCGCGCTTTTCTCCCTCGCGCAAACGGTTGTCGCGCAAACGGTTGTCGCGCAAACGGATGTCGCGCAAATGACACAGATCCCATGCATAAACTGGCATTTTTTAATTGTTGATTTCAACCAATCAGATTACGATTACGTGATAATTTGTACTACACCTTTTCCATAAGTATTTCAGAATGTATCACTTGTATTTCAGATTCATCAATTCTAGTTCAGAATGCGTCAGTTGTATTCCAGTTGTGTAAGTTTAATTTCAGAAAGTGTTATTTGTATTTCAACTGTGTCAGTTGTAGTTCAGAAAACGTCATTTGTATTCTAGTTTGGTCAGTTGTATTTCAGAAAAAGTAATTTTTATTTCATTTTGGCCACTTGTATTTCAGAAAACGTCATATGTGTTTCAGATTATTTATTTGTAAATCAGAAATTGTAAATTGTATTTCAGAATTTGTCAGATGTATTTCAGATGTTATCAATGTAGTGTATTAAATGAAATTTATGATGGTTCACCTATACACCTTGCTTGTGTTGATTTGGGATAATCTGTTCTTATAATATTATTATCTGAAATACAACTGATGATTTCTGAACTACATCTGACAAATTCTAAAATATAATTCACGCTTTCTGAAATACAATCAACGAATCTAAAATACAATTGACGCTTTCCGAAATAAAATTAACTTATCTGAAATACATTTGACGATTTCTGAAATAAAATATACCAGTCTGAAATACAATTGACTCTTTCCGAAATATAATTAAATAATCTGAAATACAATTGACGCTTTCCGAAATACAATTCACTAGTCTAAATTGCAATTGACGCTTTCTGAAACTAAACTGACGGTCTCTGAAATACATATGGAAAAGGTGTAGTGCAGGATTATCGGATTGGACAATTGCTTACTAACGGGTGGCATTTGACATTTTTTCTGATTGCTGACATTTTATACTTACGAGGATATACTAAAAATTTAAATTTTTGATTCATGAAATTCTCTCATAAAATACAACTCGAGCAATGGAAATATATCTATAATTTTTGAGAAATTTGCTCTCATGCATTTTTAACTGGAAAAAGCACTCGTCCCTCGTGCTTTTTTTCAACTAAAAATGCATTTGGGAAAATTTGCCAAAAATTATCGATAATTTCCATTTTATCCCAATTTAATTTTATTTCTAATTTTATTTTATTTTCTGTATAAATGAGCACACGATATTTCGCTTTCTGATTTTTGAAACCTATATAAGGCCTCCAATAGAGTTTTCCTAAACTAAAGAAAAAAAAAATTGTAAAACTATTCT